AAAGATGCCAATAAAGGTACTGCATATAAATCTTTTTCCTTTTTCCAGGGTCTCTCTCTCTGTCTCTCTCTCAACTAGTCACACCTGTTTTTATTTGTTATTTAATGTCAAAATGGTAAGTTATTAGCATGAATTTTACTGTTCATCTTTCTATTATGCAGTATCAGTTTTAAATGCAAATAGGAGAGCATTGAACTCATACGGAAAATCAGGAGAACATAACGCAACTCATGGGCCCCGGGCAACCCAGGCTCCCAGACCCTCCTTCAGGAGAGGCCACAGCGGGTGGAAGCAGGTATCTGGGATTTATTTCGCTTATATAATTGAAACTTTGTAGCCTTGAGCGGAGTTCAGGGCCAGCCAGGGCAGGCGGGAAGCTTGGCTTCCTCCATCACCAGGGGCAACCCAAGCCTCCTATCCACTCCAGCTCTGTGGCTGCAGCCATCTTGGTTGAGTTTATTTGCATACTCAGTCCTGATGGGCTGGTGGGCGTGGTCGGTGGGCGTGGCTTGTTAGTGTGGCAGAGGTACGGTCAATTTGCATGTTTCTCTTTTATTAGATAAGATAGCCATTCTGACAGGTGTGAGGTAATATCTCATTGTGGTTTTAATTTGCATTTTTCTGATGACTAGTGATGTTGAGCATCTTTTCATATTTCTGTTGGCCATCCATATGTGTTCCTTGGAGAAATCTATTCAGGTCCTTTGCCCATTTTTTAACTGGATTGTATGTGGGGTTTTCGGTGTTGAGTTTTACAAGTTATTTATAAATTTTGGATATTAATTCTGTATCAGATCTATCATTGGTGAATACGTTCTCCCATTCAGTGAGTTGTCTTTTCATTTTGTTGATGGTTTCCTTTGCTGTGCAAAATTTTTAAATTTGGTATAGTCCCATTTGTTTGATTTTTCTTTTGTTTCCCTTGCCTGAGAAGATGTATCACAAAATATATTGCTATGAGAAATGTCCAAGATTTTACTGCTTATATTTTCTTCTAGGATTTTTATGGTTTTAAGTCTAACATGTAAGTCTTTAATCCACTTTTAGTTTATTCTTATGTATGGTGTAAGAAGGTGGTCTAGCTATATTTTTTTGTACGTATCTGTCTAATTTCCCCAACACCATGTATTGAATAGATTAGCTTTACCCCATTGTATGTTCTTGCCTCTTTTGTGAAATATTAATTGACCATAAAAACTTGGGTTTATTTCTGGCCCTCAGTTCTGTTCCATTGATCTACTAGTTTATGTCTCTTTTTATGCCAGTGCCATGCTGTTTTGATTACTATGGCCTTGTAGCAAAATGGAGTTGATATTGTCAAGAGAGCAATCTAAAATGGAACCAGGAGGCCTCTGGGAAGCTGAGCTAACTTACCCCCTCCATGTGAAACTGAACTTTTGAACTAAGCTAAACCATAACAGTTATATCCTAATATAGTTCCTGGAACTGGCTCTGCATCACTGAGCTCTCTAATTAAAAAATAAATTTTTACCTAGCAATAAACAAAAGCAATTAATCATATCATATACTATAGTGTAAGTCTGCTTGCCAGCACCAACCAAGCTCTTTCAAAGAAACTTGTATAACCCCTTTCAAAGCTCCCCTTTTTCTAAATTCTGTCTCTTTCTTTCCCCCTTGGAACACAGTTGAGTTTCTACTCAAATCTGTGTGCCAACTTGCAATTCCTAAAACCTCCAAATAAAGCTTTCATTTGGTTTATAGTTCTTGGTCAAAATTAGTTGACAAGGTGGTCTTCTTGGTCCCTGCCAACTCTTCCTAGCTTAGTTGGGGGCTAACTTCTTTGTACCAACAAAAGTGCTGAAAGGCAGCATTATAATATCCAGGAGTAAAAAACTTTCCTGCAATTGCTGGAGAAACATTTATCCACTGACAACAAATGAGGAACAACAAACTGGGTAAAATTTAAAATATTATCAAATTACAGTGTAGTACATTCAGAATATTTGTTTCCTAAAGTTGAAAGATCAAGTGAATGAAAATGATTCTGAGTAAAAAGTGTTTGGCTTTTCAGTAGGTGTGTGAAATAGCTAATTGAGTTTAATCCTTATTTGTTTTTTATTTTTAATATATTTTATTGATTTCAGAGAGGAAGGGAGATGGAGAGAGAAATAGAAACATCAATGATGAGAGAGAATCATTACCTGGCTGCCTCCTGCATGCCCCCCACTGGGGATCCAGCCTGCAGTCTGAGTGTGTGCCCTGACCACATGCCCTGATGGAATCAAGCCCCGATTTCCTGGTTCAGAGACTGATGCTCAACCACTGAGCCATCCCAGTCAGGCTATTTGTTGTTTTTTAAATGCTTAATGCTTCTCTGATTGCAAAAGTGAATGTCCTAATGTAGAAAACCTGAGAACTACGCAAAAGAATAACAAAAATAAAATTCACTTGTTACCACATAGGAAAAAAATCTGTAAATAGCCCTAGCCAGTTTGGCTCAGTCGGCCTGCGAACTGAAGGGTCCCAGGTTCGATTCTGGTCAAGGGCACATGTCTACGTTGCTGGCTCGATCCCCAGTCGGGGGCATGTAGGAGGGAGCAAATCAATGATTCTCTCTCATCATTGATGTTTCTATCTCTCTCTCCCTCTTCCTTCCTCTCTGAAATCAATAAAGAAATATATTTTTTAAAAATCTGTAAATATTTGTATATTTCTAGATTTATTTTTCTTTTTACATTTTGTTGATTTTATAGTGAAAATAACTTGTTTTAACTGGCATTTTGGTTACTACTATGAACAACTTTTCATATTGTTTTTTGGCCAGTTTTCATGTACCAACTCTTCTTTTGGCATCTTAGATTTTTCTTGCTGATTTGAATAAGCTCTTTCAATCATAAGAAAATTACCAATTCATTTTTTTGTCACATTTATGGCAAATGTTTTTCTAAGTTTCTTTACTGCCTCCTATTTTTGCATAGTTTTTAAAAAGACATAATGTTTGTTTAGTCCACAACTCATGTTTGGTGAAGTTTTAGATATGCAGAAACTCTGGCCACCCAAGGGCCTGTGGATCTGAAGTTGGAATCATTGATCAAAATGACACAAAAACGTCCCTGTGTAGTATCTCTTTCCGTTGAGTTTATGTAACCCCTGAACCAGGGGTCCTCAAACTACGGCCCGCGGGCCACCTGCAAATACAAATATTGTATTTGTCCCCATTTTGTTTTGTTTTGTTTTTTACTTCAAAATAAGGTATGTGCAGTGTGCATAGGAATTTGTTCATAGTTTTTTTTTAAACTATAGTCTGGCCCTCCAACGGTCTGAGGGACAGTGAACTGGCCCCCTGTTTAAAAAGTTTGAGGACCCCTGCCCTGAACAATGAGAACCTCTTGATGTTGGCTAGCAACTCAGGATTGAACTCAGGAGGCGTGCTAATGAATGAGAGTATCCTCGGGTCCTTGCCCCTCACAAAAGGTCACCTTTATCCTCCTACAGATTTTTATGACATCTGCGACGAGGACGGCCACGGAGGCTCCTCGGATACCAGCAAGTGCACGTGCACTCCCGGAACCGTGCTAGGCCCTCACAGGCAGACATGCTTTGGTCAGAAACTAATCTTGGAATAGAAACAGGCTGTTAATATTAAGATCAAAAGAGTAAATAAAAAACTCTTCCTGACTCAGAGCTTTATCTGAACACTTGAATGGTGTTTGCCTTTGTAGTTCATAACTAAAGCCTCAAGGCAACTTCAGGTCATGTTTAGGGACAGTCTAGAACTGTGCAGTGCAACACAGAAGCCAATAATCAAGGGAGAGAGGGAGAATCACCTAATGTTTCTTCCTCCTGCCCTCCAACCATCTAACAGGACCTCCCTTTGACCATACTTGGGACAGGAGGCCCTACTTTCTCCTTTTCTCCAAAAGAAGTAACATTTCCTCTCTGTTCCCAGCTCTCGCCAGGTAGCCTCTACCTTGATTTGGTCTCCCACTAGATGACCCGACTTCTGGGATTAGGAAACATCACCTCCTCCTGTAACCTCCATCCCTAGGACTGGCAGTCTTTTTCCTGCTGCTCGTAGACCTCTGCCTTGCCGAATAGGGGAGGTCGAGGACTGGAAGCAATTGACCAGCAGAGGAAGGACTTGGCACCTCATCAACGTGAGGGTGTGCATTACCTCTGGGGAGGGTGTCAGTAGAATGGGAGTGGGGAGGGGTACAGAGAGTTTTCAACCATATCAATAACCACTTATTTCATTAATAATTTTTTTAAATGTTGGAAGCCAATATGGAAAAATATAACCATTTGTTAAATAAGTAAGGTGGGTGTTCAGATGCTCATTATATTATTCTCTGTGCATTTCTATATCATTGGAATATTTCATAAGAAATTATTAGAGAAAAAACGTTCCAGATTAATGGCAATAGTAAGCCTTCTCCTTGCTCAGACATGCCACTCTTT